GTTTTAAAATTAAAATTATGAAATAATCTGATTTATTTAATTAATTCGCTAATTTGTATAAAAAAAATAAAATAATTTAATTAATTCAATATAAAAAATAAAAAAAATTATTTAGTTTCGGTTCTTATTCGGTTCTTCGGTTCTTGGTCTAGACCCAAGACCCGACCCAAACCCATCGGTTCTCGATTCGGGTACCCGTTCGGGTATTTAATTTATGAAGAACCGCTCGGTTCGGTTCGGTTCGGGTTCGGTTCGGTCCGGTTCGGTTCGGGACTTTTGGACACCCCTAGGCACGGCGCGGGCTTGCCCTCCCTTTTTTTCCAGTTAAAATACAAATTCAAAATTTTAAAATGTAAAACAAATAATACTCAAACTAACTATATCAATATCCAAAGTAAGCATTCGAAACAAACAATATCCAAAATTTTTTTTTTTTTTCACGAAGCGGGTTCGAGGCTAGGCATCACCCCACCTCGCAACCCGAGACGGAGCGACGATCTCGGTCCCGCCCCACCAACCCATCGAGGCAGGGTGTATTTTTTTGCCATCGCTACTTCATCCATGTTGTATTTGGTTCAGAAAATATAGCTCGGGTCGTCGATAAATGTGAATATTTTGTAATGAATACAATCGAGATTATGCGACGAGCATGGAGAAGTTGACCACGTGCTTGCAGGATATATATAGTGCATGATTTTTCTAATTGTATCGTATGGAAAGCTAATTAACGTCATTAAAATGAGATCATGGTTTCGTTTTTGTTTTTGATAACAAACGATTAATTTAGACATTATAGTATAATAAAAAAAGATAGCACACATATTTAGGTATACGTCACTAGTGACGTTTTTAGAATGGACTGATCAATTTGATTAAAGCTTCCTGTTTCGAATTAGTGTCTATATGCTCATTCAACAGGAAAGCCAACGTGACTAGCAATAAACATAACTTAGGATGAACGATCTGTGGATAAGAACCATGTAGATATAGGTCTTGCACAATTTTGAAATATAGTATCTCTAATGTCTCGTTTAAGATAGTGGGCATGTTAAACTTCTCGAGAAAGGTTGTCACGTGTTGAAAAGAGGTTTTGAGTGACATGTGAATTGTGCATGGGTTCGAGAAGTGTTGCATTCCCATATTATGGTAGTCTTCTTTATGTGTTGTGTTCAAAACTTGCTCTAGATATGGAATATCGATAGTCGAGTAGAGGTGGACACTTTTGTTTCAGAACTGGTTGGTTCAGTTTTGGTTTCTTTATTAAATGGATCAATTTTAGGATCATGCATCGAGAACTGGTTGATTCTAGTTCGATTATTGATACTGTCTTAAGACCAATAGTGAATTCAGATCTCTCTAATTTTTTTTTTTTTTGTTCGTATATTGCACAAATAGTGAATTCTAGAATTCAAATTTCTCGTTATTTTCAAAGTGGTCGATCATTAGAATGAAAATCTTCTCTCCTTTTAATGACCTTATTAATTGATCTCGATCCTTGGAGTATATTTTGTTTATTATGTTGTTTAATTAACTCTATTTCATCTATTTTTAATTTGACAATGTTCTTGCATCATTAAGTGACATAATCATGATGTAATTGCTTAAAAGCAGATTAAATTAAATAGAGCACTTAACCATGGACCTATTACTAATTAACTATATATAATGACACTTAGTCTGATTCCTTATCTTAATATATGAATCGTGTTTGTACTTCATCTTAATTCTTAATTAGCAAATTGATGATCATTTAATGATGCAACATGCTGATGATGGATGGAAATGTAATCAAACGTGATATCACGGGGACTCCCACCTGATTTTCAACAGGGATTTCGTAAACTAATTCTAATTAGGGGTGGGCACGGGTCGGTTCGGTTCGGTTCGGTTCGGTTCGGTTTTGTTCGGTTCCGTACTATAATTAAATTTTTTAATATTTAAAATAATATTACACAAATACACCTGAAAGTAGATACTAATATTAGCCCCTGTTTGGAGGGCATTTTTTTCCCATTTCTAGAAATTTTCTTACCGTTAGATATGGGGCCAACCGAAATATTTGACCAACTTGTGAGAGGGATGGGCTCACTAATTTGAAAAAAAGGGTCCAATTCTTCATTTTTTCTTCACAAGAATGCTGGTCAAACAGGGGCTTAATAACAAGAAGTAGATACAAATACGAAATTCGATCTTAGCAATTAAACCCTAAACCCAACCATGAATGGCTAAAATATCAACTAAAGTCTA